GGGGCACCGTTGGGTTATACGAATGCTTCAAGGCCTTCCTTACACAGCTCAAATTCTACTAAATCAACTGCTTCCATTGCCGAGATAACGGGCGCTCATATTATAAGGTAAGGTTATAAAAACCATCTTTTAAGATCAAATTAGTGAAAGTTTCATCCTTCAAGGCGTACCATTCACTGCTCAGATACTAAACAACCTGCTTCCATTCCCGAGATACAGGGCGCTCATATTATAAGGTAAGGTTATAAAACCACCTTTTAAGATCATTTTAGTGAAAGTTTCATGTTCCTATCTCATAGAATTTAAGAACAATGATGAATAAATCATTTTCGAGCAAAATTTAAATGGCCGCCTGAATATATTACCGCCGGAGACGCGGCCGCGGAATTTAAATAACCGCGCCAAAGGGTTAATATCAAAGAATCAGATTAAATGAAAGTAATTAACTATATGCCCAAATTTTGACTGCTACACTTCTTGGCCTGCTACCATAACTACACATATTTCAGCAGTTTTTTTAAATTTTACTTAATGTATATTTGTGTGTGTGCGCACGTGTGCTAAGAGATGACACTACAAAATGTTATACACTTTCTTCTCTCATGCACAGAGGTGCTCCTAATGTTAAACAGTTTCTGTGAAAGCGCTTGTAGATCTAGGCTGGTACAATGAGTGGCAAACAAAATTTCTCCAAACAGTGTTTCACCAGAACTGGTTTATTCTCCCTTTCCATGTACCTTTCACATAACATGAGATGCGTTCTAAATTTTTGGTGCAGGTACGAAAACTAGTCCAGAAGGTGGTGACGCGGGATTCCCTCCATTACAGGAAACTCACAGACAAACCACGAGCAAAGGAGGAGGACAGTAAGGATAGTGACAGAATGAAAGATGCAGCAAAAGAAAAGAGTAAAGAGAAAGATCCCGCAGCAGGAGAAGCATTGGCAGCTCTTGCTTTTGGTATGTATCTTAGTTGTATGAGCTCTGCTTTGTGGTTTCTTTTCAACAAGTTACCTTTACCATAGAGAAGTAATAGGAGGCATGTCTGAAAGAAACTTACTGTCTCCCCCTCCTTTCTCTTATCTCCTTTCACTGTGCTGCATGATTTGAATCTTAGTCCTTCAGCAGAAATTTCTCCCTAACATCTTTCTGAACACACTCCAGCTCCTTTTCACCCTTCAGACCTACTAAAGTCAGTTTTATTATCAGCCATCCTAATCACATCATCTGTATCAAGAGATTAGCTTTTATTATATTGACAATATTTGAGGTATTAAAATATGCATATGACTTTTCATTTTGTCTTATGTGATATCATTCTTATTTCTCCTAGGTCCATATATTGGCTTTGAAAAATATTAAATCCCTTCATTTCCCTATAGAATTTTATAATGGCAATTACACCATTACATTTGTAACTTTATTAACAAAATAAAATAATTTTCTTTCCAGGTAATAAACGACTGCTGCCAGTGTTTTCAGCAGGTGGCTCTCCACCATCAAAACGAGCAAGGAAAGACCCAGAAGATCCTCCCAAGGACAAACCAACAGTACCTGATGGTAATTTTATGTAATTGATGTGTCTGTGACTGCATTACAATAAAACATTGGGCCATTTTTATGAATTCTTATGATCAGTGTATGAAGTGAATGTACGAGGGGTACCCAAAAGAAACCAAACTTATTTTTTTTTAACTTATTTATTCAAATTTTAAGCACAAACCTTCAATCCCCTTCAGAATACTCTCTACTTACACTAATACACTTGTCTAGTCTTTTATTCCATTTTTCAAAACATTGTCTAAATTCATCTTTTGAGATGCTTGACAGCGCCTCCGTCGGTTTTTTTCCTTCACCCCAGCAACATCAGCAAAACACTGACAAAAAGTTTTGATCATTTCGGGACTCTTCTTTCAAAGCACAGCATGCTTCCACGCGACCTTGTTTTTGTTCAGCAGTCAGCAGTCGTGGCACGAATTTCGCGGCCACCCTTTTCATTCCCAAATCTTCTGTCAAAATTCGCTGAACTGAGCTCCAAGTCACTCCCGACAGCTCCACAATTTCTTCAATGGTCCGTCGTCGATCTTCCTTGATGATTTCACGAATTTTTTCAACATTTTCATGTGTTCGGGCCATTGCAAAAACGACGATCACACAAAACAGTTGTCACTATAAACTCTGCCGAAACTAGTCCTTACCTTCTGAAGCAACGGTAGTCGGCTTATCGACTCAGGAATGTTAGCTCTATGCGCTCATAGTGGCAAAACGCGGTACTACAAAAGCTCTGCCCACAAAAAAATTAGTTCGGTTTCTTTTGGGTACCCCATCGTATGGTGAGGATGTAATGCCTGTCTGTCTTGTAAATTTTATGTATATGGATGACATTTGGTATTGGAATTGTGCTATAAATTGAGTGGATTTTCTGTCGGTTTATATTTGTCCATATAATCTTTTGCTTTATTGAAGGTGGTGTATCTATTATAATTACACTTAAATTTCTTAAAAAATACTCAGGGTTAAAAAAGTAATTTCAAACTGTGGAATCCCATCATTAGATTTTACAGCTGTCTTATGACACAAGCAGATTAAGTGATAATGAAGAAGGCAGACCTGCTAATAAATTAATATGGAGGACAGAAAAGGGGGCATTATCACAATATGCATCACACCTGCTCTGCAACTTATAATGGTGCCTTCAATTAGTCAGGTTAAACAGGGGCAGATGGAGACTGGTCAGCAGGTTTGTTTCATTCTGCAGTTTGCACAACAGGGTAATAGATATAAAGCAGGAAAGAGGACCACACAGTTTGAACCTGCCCTCATATTGCCCACTATACAAATAATGAAGAGGAATCACATTGACTGACCTAGATATATGACTTCTTTTTTTTATTATTCTGTGATCTAGTGGTCAGAGTTCCTGGCTACAAATTCAGAGGTCCTAGGTTCGATTCCTGGTGCTACCAGATTTTCTGAGAAGTAGTGGGTCTAGAACGGGGTCTACTCAGCCTCGTAAGTATACTTGAGGAGCTACTTGAATGGAAAAGTAGCTGCTCTGGTCTAGAAAACTGAGGTTAACAGCTGTGGGAATCCATTGGGCTGACCACGTGACACTCTCTATCTGCTGAAGTTGGTACTAACTTCACCGACAGGTGGCAGTCGCTCAGTTGGCGTAGTTCGCTTGCAGACTAAAGCCACATTTTTTGTTTGTTTTAGTGGGGTGAGACGTAGTCCACTTGGTACTGGAGGCACTACTGGCCTGTTGTACCAGCCCCAGATGATAGGTGATGGTGACTGTGTAGCAGTTTGTGGAATGAAGATTGGGAGGGGAAACCGAAGTATTCGGACAAAACCTGCCTCACTGCTACTTTGTCCACCACAAATCCCAAATTACTTGACCCAGACTCGAACCTGGGCTGCCACGGTGGGAAGCCAGCGATTAACAGCCTGAGCTATGGCATGGTCTACATGACTTACAGTCATTCCTCATACTGACCTGATGGCAGACATAGCAGGTCTCCAAAACATTGGTTTTTAATTCAGCTGCTATGCATCTGATTACCTGAGAATAATTTTTTTTTTCCTGTGTCGCTACAGCCCCAATTTGGGCCTAGGCCTACCTCCATGAAACTCTCTGTTTCACTTTGGTTTACTAGATCTTACACATACGGTAGGACTCCTTGGGCGAGTGATCAGCTCGTCGCAAGGCCTCTACCTGTAGACAAACACAGAAAAACGCACACACACGTCCATGCCCTGAGTGGGATTCGAACCCACGATCCCGGCTTCCGAGCGAGCGAAGACAGTGCATGCCTTAGACTGCTCGGCTACTGCGACCGGCGAGAATATTTTAGTGTGTGAATTTACTGTGAAAGCTTAAATTCTTACATAACAATAGTCTGCTGCTATGACTTTGAAGGCTGTTGACCTCTGGTAGTTGCAAGTGACAACAGCAGGTTTATGGGAAACAGTTTCCAATCTCCACTCTGACTGTCAGGGAAAGTGATTAGAGTATGTTATCATTCAACACAAAGTTATTTAACCAATCACAGAACTAAAGTTATAGGTCCATACAAGATATTCAGTACAATAATAATACAAATTATGAGTCCTTGCAGCCACAGTAAAACTGTCTCCTGGCTGTACTTTGCTTGGTTGTGTGTTCTTTGTAATGGAGTGCATTTATGAAGTTCAACTCTGCATGCAGGGTTTGTGCTATACAAAGGAGGACTTTTGGATGTGGAGAAACTGATGGGCCAGCTGAAGCGAAGCGAGAAGGCTCGGACTGACACAGAGCATAAGATGCTCATTTTGAAGGAGGAGCTCACTGGACTGAAAGAAACTGCAGCAAAGTCTGCCAGTACAGTGAAAGACCTATCACTACAACTTCAGGATTACAAGGAGAAGTTACGCATTACTGATCAGGACCTTGTTGAAATTAAGGTATGTTTTCTAATTTGGAAGTTCTTCTGTAGGTTTTAAATATCTAGCCTTATGGCTGGAGACCTAGGCATATATGAGAGGGTAATATTAAAATGGGTCTAAGAGGAAAGGGATGTGACAGTATGGACTCGATTCATCTGACTCAGGATGTGATTTAATGGGAGTATCTTGTGAACATAGTAAAGATACCTTTGGGTTCCATGACAAATTGGGAATTTCTTAACTAGCTGAATGATTATTGGATTCTCAGAAAGGACAGTGCTCCCATGTTGGCCATTTACTGTGAGTTTGGAACATTTTGTACTGTCTTGCAGTTTCATAAGGATTACATTTTCAAATGAATAACTTCATGTCATGGCCAAAATTATAGTAATGAACCTGAAAGTTGACAAAGCTAAAATATCACAAATAGGCATGTTATTTTTGCATCTGAATTCTAGAAATCCATTTCAGTATTTTGCAGTTATTGCCCTGAAGGAAATATACATAATATAAAATATTTGTGTAGTAACTGCAGTTTGTGACAAACATATTTTCGTGTACTTGATACTCATTGAACTGCAGTCATAGTCAGCCAGTAAAATTAAGGGCTTTGACTGAACAGCCAGGCTACAGTTTTCTTTATCCCCATGTTCAGAAGAGCTCTGGAGTCTGCCTAGTCTCTTATTCAGTGGATACTTGAAACCTTCCCCAGAAAGAGAACCATCTGAAGCATGAACCATATATACCCAGATCCAATCTCTAAAGTTCCCCCTGAATCAAATTTTGATTTGTTATTGTCATTCCAAAATATCTGAACTGTGCCACATTTTCAAAACATCTGTTACCCATCTTTATGTCATAATTTTGCCCTGCATTCTGGTGACAAGACATCAACATATACTTAGTTTTCTCTGTGTTTACTTCTAGACCAACCTCATTACTAACACATGTTAAAGTTTCTGTGTTTTTCTTTGTGGTATCTATATTATCAGCCAATAGATTGACATCATCAGCATAGACCAACAGCTGATGTGTCCCATTTAATTTCAGTCCCACCTGGTTTTCTTGGAAGAGTTGAAAAACAGTGGTGATAAAGCATCTCCTTGTTTTAGACCATTTTGGATAGGAAAAATTATCAGACAAATGTTTACCTATAAGGACTTTACTATGCATTTCATTTGAACACATTTGAATCAGCCGAACTAGTTTCATGGGTACCCCAAACTCTTTGAGAGTGTTATACAATATTTCCCTCCTAATGGAATCATAGGTTTTCTTGAAGTCTGAGAATGGCTGATGTACTGTCTCATTGTGTTGCCATTTTTAGTTCAGTATCTGACAAATGCAAAGAAATCTGATCAGTGGTTGATCTGATACATCAAAACCTACACTGATGATCCCCAGTAGTTTCATCTATATAGGGACTTGAACCTTGAGAGAAGGCTATTGGATAAAATTTTGCGTGACGTTGGTAGGAGTGATATCCCATGGTAATTACTACAGTCGATAGATGCCCCTAAGCACAGTTTTGGATGTAAAGGCCTCACCTTCCGAGGAATGAGATCAGTCATGGGAGTGGTGACCACTGAACTTTTCTGTCTCTCCAGTAATACATTGCTAACTGTGTAATTCTTGCTCTGAGAAATTTCATCTTCTGCTTCATTAGCTCATCCATACTTGAAACTGAATATTGAGGAGCACATGTATCTGGAGATCACAGTTTAGTGTGTCTGGTTTTCTCTTGATGTATCCAGTAGTCTCATTATGCACAACTGATATCGTGTTCGTAGAATGTGAAAATGAAATTACCAGTAGGATTACGCAAGTGATATGCTGTTAGAAGTCACGCATGTATACTGAAAATTAAGTTTGTACATATCTTTGACTGTGCATATATATTTTTACAGATGAATGCTGAGACTTACTTTGCTACGCTGCGTGAAATCCAAGAGAAGATAGCACCTGTGGTGAACACAGGAGATATTCAAGTAGTTCAGATGGACAGTAGGGATATGAAAGAGGAAACATCTGATGTCATGGTGAAGCATGAAAATCAGCATGAGAGTCGATGGGGTGATAAGGTGGACCATCAAGATGAGAAGAAGAAGAAGGTTGAAACAATAAAAAGTGAAACTGCAATGGAGTGTAACTGAACTGTGTTTGAGTGGTTGTGTTGCCTTCTTCCTTCGAGCTACTCAACAGAAGATCTGGAGAACTTTACCCTTGTTTGTTACTTTCTTTGTTTTTATTTATAACTGTAAAAGGCACAGTATTTTCTAATATTAAATGGAGGACTATTACAAATGAATTTATAACTTTCAAAAATATGTTGTGAGTAATATAAACAAGTTACAGAATTAACAGTAACATTTCTTAGGGACAGTAGCCTAAAAATGTTGTTCTCATTTTAAAAATGTTCAATTTGAGCTCCACAGATAAAACCCTTAGAATATCTAAATGATATTTAAACTTATCCCATGCTTATTGTAAAGGTACCATCATCAGTGGTGCAACAGTATGATGCATCCTGATCTTTAGCTCTTACAGATTTGCTGGAAGAAGTAAAGTAAAAAAAAAAAAAAAAGTAAAGCTATCCCTGTGCCAGGCCGTGAAAGCCCATAGGGTTATGAGACATTGAGGGTCCCACATTATCTAAAACTTTATTTCAAAAGAACAGTAGGTGTCAGATCTGGGTATCATGGAGTTCATACCTCTATGATCAGTCCATTGTCCAAGCAGTGCTTTTTTGTGTATAACTCCTGTTACAGTGTTGTGATGGTGTGGTGATACACTGTCTGATTGGAAAATTAATATTCTTCCAAAGTCATGATCAGCCTGAGGCATCAGCTAGTTTTCCAGAATGTTTAATTGGTCTTTCAGCAAAACAAATAACACATTGCACACTTTCAAATTGGTTCACCATTTTGGATAATTCATATTTGGAGCCCAGTATAATGATTTGGTAATTACTGTTAACAAGTAACAAAACAGAGACTGTCCAAAGTAACTTTCACCCTGAGACTGTTACATTTGTGCCACTTGTAGTTTACTTACAGGAAGTAATTGAAAGTTTATTTCTTATGTAATAATTGTGTATTGTTAACTCATTCAGACCTGCAGCTGGCAATTCGCAATGCAGTCACCTGGTTAAGCGTCCGTGGTTGGAAATTTCTGATAAAATGCATTTATAGTAAGCATTTGTTTGGATAGTTTATGTCACAGTCATTAGATGGACTTACAGCATGTTAGGAAGTCTCATGGAAATATTACTTCAGGGTGTTCAGAAAAGTTAGGTTGCAAAAACTTCCCTTTTAGTTAATATGGCAGGGCTGCAAGAGTAGTCTGAAATTTCAGCTGCATCTGAATGTGCTGAGCATTTTGAATGTACCATTTGTGTTACCTGAAAGATGTTTTATAATGACCTGAATGAGAACTAATTTTAAGAATTAATATGGTACAAAAATTCCTTTATTAAAAGAAATTACTCAAGAAGATGTGAAACTGAAGTAAGCATGCTGTTTAGTAGTAGTAGTACTATACCTTTTACCAGGTCCATCTGAAACATTGGTACTCACACTGACAACTGCAAATTACTTGGCTGCATAAAATCAAGAGTATTCAGGCAAAAAGTGTTTGTTTCTGCCAGTATTCTTCAAAGGATATTCCTGGAAAACATAACACAGGTGTTGCCATTTCTTTAAGACTATTTCAGATGCGTAGCTGGCGCCAGTACATACATTAGATTATTTTTCTTCAAAAAGTAAAATTGTTTGTGAAATACAGTATAAATGTTCAGCTGTGTGGCAATGGATCAGGAATGTAGCAAGGAATGATACAGGTAAGAATATAATGCATTTCTATGGGTAGATCACAATTTTTGTTCTAAAGTCTTAATCCAAGAAAATATGAGTGGCCTGTGTTGGGGTCAGGTAGTTCTTGTTCATGAAACATCACAAATACAGGTTGACACACGAAATAATCCAGTATTTGATCTGTCAATAAAATCTTTATTTCAATTACAATATTAGAAACTAACATACAAAAAGAAAGACCATTGCATGGAGATTTATCCTCTATGAATCAAATGTTCCATATGACCACCTTTACGTCTGACCACTTCTTCAACACGAACTGTGATGTTGACTACTTGATGGCACATATCCTCAGTTATCTCGTTGCAGGCCTGAGTGATTAATGCTCTAAATTCCATTATTGTTTGCAGCATTTTCAGAAAAATCCTTTCCTTAAGGAATCCCCAAAGAAAATAGTCACATGGGTTTAAATGAGGACTATTCAGGGGGCCAGTTCTGTCCACATGTGAAATGATCAGGAAATTGGTTTGAGATGACATGCATGCGGGAAGCCCAGAACAACATTCACTCTGTGTGGCCTGGCTCCATCCTGCATGAACCCCTGACTCTGTAATGGTAAACCTGTAGTAAGAAGGTGAGGCACAAAATTATTGTGCAACCTGCAGGGCTAACTGTTCACTGTCTCTGCAAAGAAAATTGGCCTTAGCAGTCCATCACTTGAGATGGTGACTCACCCTGTAATTCTCAGTGCATGATGCACCTTCTTGTGAATAACGTGGATTCCCAGATGCCCAAAACTGCACATTTTGTTTATTAACCCCACCATCCAAGTGGAAGTGTGCCTCATCAGAAAACCAAACATTGTTGAATGATACCTAATTATTCTGAGCCCATTCATCAAATGCCATTCTTTGATGATTGTTTTGAACTGCAAGTTTAGGCAACACTATCATTTTGTATGGATACAAATGCAAATCACTCGTCAATATTCATTGCACCAAACATCTGTATGTCCCTAGTTGTACTGCAGCCGTCCTCGTTGATTTATTGGGCATTCTTTGCACCGCTACTCTGATAGTGTCAGTGTTCTCTGGAGAGCACACAGATGAAGGCCAGCAAGTTTCCTATCCAACACTGAATCATCATTATTAAATTGGTTTTAAAGTTTGTGAACTGTTCTGAATGAAGGTGCCCGTCATCTTAGAAAATGGCCATGAAACTGCCTCTGTGTGACCACAGAACTTCTTTTTCATTAAGGAACAACACTGTTTTTGTGCGTTGTGCTACAGACAGCCTTCCTCTGTCAGTCATCATGTGTAAGGTGGAGCATGAGCAGGAACAGCATGACACTAGCACACTCAGGAAGAGTAAGATCTCTGTGATCTGCCATGTTACCATGTTACAAAACATTGTTCATTTCATGGTTGAATAATTAATACTGAGTCAAATACTGTATCATTTCATGTGCCACTCTGTATGTAAAGAATGTAAAATATTGGGCTAAGGACGGAACCTTGAGGCACCCCTGCCACTATTTATCTTGGCATAGAAAATTTGCCTTCTACCAAGACTTTAAATTTTATATCAGTGAGAGAAAAAACAATTAGCTTAATGAGACATGTTGAAAATTCTAATTCAGACAATTTATATAGTAAGCCAGAGTGCCATGTTGTGTTGAAGGCGTTCTCGATACCAATGAACACAGCAGCCATTGACATCATATTGTTGAAATTTAGGGTAATGTGATCTGCCAACCTCATACATTGAAGTGTCATACTGTGACCTGCTCTAAAGCCAAACTGACAAGTACAGTATGCACCAAAAGATACAGTACTGAAATGAAAATACGTCCTGTTGATACCATTGTCTATTCATGTGAAGGCCCCTTGCATGACAGAACCTTCTCAAATCCTGAAGAAATGGTCCGATAACCATGTCCCTGTAGCGTTCTTGGGTGATGGTAAGAGCATGGCCTTCCTCATCCCCAATGAAATAGGGGCCTAATATACCGTGTGCTGAGACGGCACACAATAGTGTCACACATGTCCTATGTAGCAGTTTCTGGATGATAACATCTGGCCGCTCAAAACCAAGGAAGCGAGTTGTCTTGCGACCACTTCCGTATGGGCGGAAATAATACTCAACTATGAATACTTTTTCCTCCATCGAGAGACCCATTTCCAACAACTGCACAACACAACTTCCTTTTCACTACTGGGAACACGTGCGGCTGGAGCTATGTCCCTTCGACAAACGCGCATGCGCATTCGAGATGTGCTAGTTTCAGTACTTCATCTTTTGGCGCATATTGTACAGGGTGCATCAGAAAGAATGGATGGATTTCACAGGGCAATAAAATTGGTAAGGCTCCATCAAATCCAAATTTTATTGTTACCATCAGATTTGCCAATACGTGCAGTTTATTTGTGGAATACAGTATCATCCATATGATGTCCTTGGCTTCTGATACAGACATCGAGGCGTTTTCTGAAGTTATTCTTCACTCTCGTGGTCATATCTGGTGGAATTGTCGTGATTTCTTCTTGAATTGCTGTCTTCAGCTTGTCCAGTGTATGTGGTTGATGTTTATAAACTTCCGCCTTCAAATGGCCCCAAAGGACGAAATCGCAGGGCTCAAGATCGGGTGAACGTGCGGGTCAAGGAATGTCACCGCAATGCAAGATTACTTTAGGTTCAACCTAGGTTGAACCTGTGGCACGAAATGAAGCCACCCACCGCAAAATTGTGTTCAGAGTATGGATCCTATCGCGACGTCCGACCTGAAATGAGTGCTGAAGGCTAGTTGAGTGGCGATCACAGACTATTTTTAAAAAACGTCTCTATGAGAAACGCACACTGTGCACCCAACCAGTCCATGTTACCAACTGAAACTGCATTCTCCTGCCGACCCAACGGTCGGCCCCCCCCACTCTACGCCTCCCCTCGTCGCAGCATAACGGTCGCTTGAAATCCAACCATCCTTTCTGACACACTCTGTATTTGGTAACTTTCTTGTCTCAGAGTACTTTTGGATTGTTCTTAAAATCATCTTCTGATATAGTTTCCCTGTAGTGGACAAGAGGCTGATCGAACATAAGTTTTGGGAAAATTTTGGGTCCATGCTGGGTTTTGGCAGAGTTATGTTTTTTCCTTCCTTCCAAGTTGCTGGGAAGTGACTGAGCTGGAGTCAGTGATTGAATAAATGTGTTAAATGCACACGAGGTCTTGCTGGAAGATACGTGCTTTGCATAATAAGGGTTATATTTCTTATGATATATCACAGGGTCACATATTAGCAAGGGTGTCTTCATCAATGGTAGCCAGCAGGGCTTCGACTGTATCCACCACACATCGACTGTAATCATAATCACACAAGTCATGTGCTCTGAACTGTTTTTCTAAGCAGTCTGTGATCATCTTGGCCTTATCAATTGGATTAGATATGGGACTTGAGGAACCATATATTGCAGATGGTGCCTTTGGTTCACCACTTTTTGTGAGGAACTTCACAATAGGTCATATTGCTTAAGGTGTGACTTCACAGTTTGCCAACCTTGTTTCCCATCTTTCAAGTGGTCTTTTCATGACCATTTTCCTGATATTTTGAGGAACCCAGTTCAGTGCCGTTTTGCATGCTGGATCCTTGGTTTTATGCCATAATTTTAAGAGCTTTCTCTTATGCCTCAATAGACAGTCTAGGCCAGGTGTTTCATATATCTGGTCTAAAATTGTAGTTTTTCAAGCTGATAGTCTGTACACCATGGCTGTAGTGGTTGCAAAGTCATATCCTGCTTCTTTAGCTTCATTGGAAGAGTAAATTTGGAGCAGTAAGTCTGCAACTTTACCGAAACCCAGTAAGGACCCAAAATTTACTCAAGAGTTTACATTTAATAAGCTGTGTGTCCACTACAGCCAAAGTTTTTGAAAAAGTCATTCTAAAAGTGGTCCAGAGTCAAATTTGGGTGAGAGAGCTGCTTAATGATAGTTTGTTTTCCATGAACGGCTTAGCACAACTCTGAAATGTGTGAGGCTTATGAACCAGGTGTCCTTAAACTTCAACAATAACATGTCCATGGCGGCGGTATTCTTTAGTTTCTGTCGAAGGCGAAATATCCACGCCTAGAGAAATATTAGCAAGGGTGCCTCAAGGTTCCATTTTATCCCCATCATTGTACAGTATCTACATGACTAATACAATGGCCTAGTACAAGGATAGCTTTACTTTTTTATACCTCTGACACCAAGTGTTTATCTGGCCCTCTTTGCCTATGACAGTTGAGACATGGTGCAAGTGCAGGGTCGTTAAAATTAATAAGGATAAAACTCAGGCCTTCTGCTTCTCTCATAGGCTTAGACCACCTTGGTGTAAACTTCGACAATGGGATTACAGTGAGATTGCATATAGAAGTGATAAGGCCTTCCAAACATTTATTAGTCTACTCCTTATTAAAATTTAGCAATTAAGCACTAACATTAAACTAAACCTCCATTAAGCACTAATTATATCAGTAATGACTTATGCTTGCCCCACCAGGGCAGATACACACCTTTGAAATTGCAGTGTGTGTAAAATAAGGTTATCTGCACAACTGGTAAATTTTCAAAGTGCACACCAGTCTGCAAGTTTCACATGGCTTTCCAAGTACAATATATGTATGATTACATAACAAAATTATCCAGGCAACAAGCAGAGGTCATAAAAATTGTGAAAATGCAAATGTTTGTGATATCTCGAAAGGCGAAGCCAGAAACAGAAAATGTGAGAGGCATAAACTTAGTAGCAGTCAGGTGCCTAGGCAGCCGTTGTAACATGAACTGCATGAGTTGGGGTATAATCTGCTATGCCAAGACTGGACTAACAGAGGCATTGTACTGCATGAAGTCATATGCGAGATAGATTTCCGCTTAGAGCATTTGTATATGAAGAATGTTGCGATTGGTTCAAATGAGCCTTTTTTTTCAATTGTAGAAAAAAAAATGTAAATACAAAAAAGGCCTAGGCAATGTCCATCCGACCTCTTCAAATGAGCGAGGGTGTCGGAGACAGTGTGACATCTTTCGTGAATAATTGTAACGATTTGCTTTCGTGGTCCAAGTAACTCAGAAGACTAGATTAAGATGGCGGTAGTGCATCGTGGGTAGTCCGTGCGGCACTCTACATCTCACCATTGTCAAATACTAGTGTCGAGTTGCATGTTTCTATGACGTTCTATGACGTTATCCATGAGCATGGCTGACGAATGTAATGACAGGTGGTGTTTTATTCTAGATTTTAAGCGTTTTTTCCTGCTGTAAATATCTGTGATATATTTGTGAATAACAAGGAAGAACAATTTTATGACAGTTTGCAACTAAGCTATGCATACCGCATTGGATGCTGTTCCTGTGCCCTGTCAGCATTCTAACAGACGAAAAGGTGAGACACCATTCAGTGAGGTACCAGGTTATATTTATAAGTTGTCCGCTCAAGTGAACCTAATCCCGTGTGGGGGCGGGGTCGAATACCTCAACCGTAGCCCTACGAGTCGTAGGAGGCGACGAATAGGGAACCCAGTGTCTGGGGGATAACCGGGCCACCCAGTACCTGGGCGATATAAATACGGGGCCTGGGCCTCCAGGTTGGGGGAGCCTCGAATCTGAGACAGTAAAATATGGTCATGAGTCCCGCGAGACTCGGACCTGAGAATGACTGCGCTGGCGAGGGCCAGCAGCACCTGTAAACGACGAGAGGATGTTACATGAGGACTGTAACCGCAAGTGTTCATTTGGAAAGAAATGAGCCTCAAGGGGCTTGTCGCCAAGACACCTAATCTTCGATCTGAGCGCACCGAGGTTCGTGCTGTGTCCCTATTTGCATCTGTCCTTTGCGTTTTTGGCTGCTAACTTCTTGGGTCATCTTACACATCTTCTTGCCCTTTCTTGAACTGCCTATGCCATTCAAAATCACCCGATTTCATCATAGCGTATACATACAGATTTCTGTTCTGTCAATGTACGCTTATAAAAGAAACATGCTTGTGATGAAGGAACCAATATTTGTGGCAACAGTATAAATTAATTTTGGATTAATGTCATAAAATGTACATTACATTAAGTGTATTTTAAGGGAAAAAAAAACTCCGTGGCTTTAGTCCACAAGCGAACTATAGCGACCGCCGCTTGTCGGCGAAGTTAGTGCCAACTTTAGTGGATACAGGGTGTTGGATGGTCAACGCAACGAATCCCCATGGCCGTTAATTGCGGTTTTCTAGAATACCACAAAAAATGACATAATATGCAGTATATGCTGCTGGTGAACAGATCAATGATGAAGTTTTTTGTTGTAGTTGTTTTGAACTCTCATATTCTGATGATGGAATTAATGTTTTAAGTAACTGTTTTTTTGGAAACAGAATGCTAGGTTGTACAACGAGTGGGTTCTGTATGGTGACTCATATTGTTTAGTCAGATTTAAGTTGTGATAATTTTCATATCTTTTGAGAACATAATAAGTAATATATTTTGTTTTTACAGTATATTATTATTATTCGTGCCAAGACAAAGCATCTGATCGAGTGAATTCTGTCTTTTCTTATTAGTGAGTATTTCAGTCACAAAGTGTCTTTTCTTCAAATGGACTGGTGCATGCTGTTGAGTGGTTGTTGGGAATTTCATCATTTTTGCTTATGTATGCCCAATATGTTGGGAAGTTTGCTGAACAGTGAATGTCTCTTTTCTTATTCTGCAGAAAATGTTGTCAACTTGTTCAATATCTTGTTGCAAAAGCTATCTACTTGAGACCTTCAAGGGAGTTGGGTGCCTGCTGAAATTCTTGTCAGTATTACAGAATTTTAATTCTTGTAAAGCTTAGTTTCTTTGCACTTATTGTACTTTTTGTCTTATGTGTATTGTTCCCAGAATTACTGGGGTTTTGGACTATTTCTGTCGTACGGAATTCTAGGTAATAGAGGACACGACGTTTCGGAAACATCCAATTTCCAAAATGTCGTGTCCACTATTACCAAGAGTGTCCTCTGTTACCTAGAATTCTGGACGATGGAAGAAGTCCAAAACCCCAGTAATTCTGTGTGTCATCCACCATCATCAGAACACTTTAGGATCTATCTGTATTGTTCCTACTCACTTGAATAACTTGTATCAAAAGAATAAAACCATGGAATAGTGGTTATTCTTAATACAGTGCATGGAAGCTAGGTTATATACATGAATTGCAATTAATATCTTTTTCGAGGTATTTCGGAGACTGCCTGCATTGGTAATGTGTGTGTGCTGTCAGCTGTGTTACTTGGTTAATGGTTGGTTATTTTATTATGCTCAGCTTCAGAGTTTAAATACCTTTGATTGAGATATGGTAGTTTGTAAGTTATGACTAAGGAGAGGTATTGAATACACTGTTAGTGGCCTAATTTGAAATACCTTTTTCTCATTTGCCTAGGACTTAGGGAAACTGTGAAGACCAGAGTCTGTGGTTTGAACTGAGTACATCCCACCTGAAAGTCAAATGTGTTGCTTCTGTGCACGTCCACTGTTTTGGTTAATATTAGAGAAATAAAAGTCATTTACTTTGCAGCTGGTTTTTATTTATTTTTTCACAAATATTGGATTTTCATTGCCCATCTTGAGTTATACTACTGTACTGGAAAACATATCTTGTTCACTTATTCAGGCAAGTCATTTACAGCCCCTCCTGAACACAAAATAGAAACATTAACCTCGGTACTGCAATATTTTATTCATTAATAACTCTGTATATAATCACTTGAGACTCTGAGGATAACTGATATGAAGAATAATTTTTTCAGGGCAATGATGTGTTACCTGAAGCCATGACTGTTTTGCAGCTTTACATTGTTATATAATACATTTATATAGAAGGATTTAATTTATTATTTCAGCCCACAACAGTGCTTTGAAACAGGTTATTTATGGGCTCATGTATGTCATGTAAAGCTGGGAAGGAAGCACATGAGTATACCACCTCACCAGCAGCCTATCCGACACAGCGTACTTGCTACTACTACAGCATGGAGAATGGGCCATTCAGTAGTACCTCACAGGTAAGCCAACCATTTGTTCCTTAAGCAGAAAGTTCATGAGAAAGAACTGTAGCAATGCTATGATTGCAGTGGGTGTTTTGGCTTATCACCTCACAACATTCTGATATGATGAATCATTCATGCAGTCAGTAAACAAGGTGCTCACTACATTAGTTACTCAAGGTTCTGGTTGCTCAAATTATTGTCTCTAAGGTCTGAATTCTGTTACCATTGCAATGAGGTATATGATTCAGTGTTGAGTCTTATAACTATGCTATGGACTGGACAACCAAAGAATCGGAATTTGATTCCTGCCAGGGGCCAGAAATGTTTCTCTTCTCCACAGCATCAGGTGTGTATCCTTTGAGTCAGGCCCCCTGCCTCCTATCCATAAGGCACTGGAGACTTCCCCTGTGGAAAATGTCAGGGCTTAAAGCTGACCACTTACCTCCGTCTGTGCTGAGGTCATTAATGTGTGGAGCTATACCTCCACTTCCCCATACACATATGTCTCCATTGATGGTGCTGAAACACAACTTTACCCTCACTTTACTTTACGTAAGGAAACGTTTAAAGAAAAGGAATTCAGAATGTCACTTCAAAATACCTGCAAAAATTATTTCCCACAAAATTGTATGTATCGAAGCTTATCAAAATGATATATCATTGGTTCAATTTGTGACAGAAGGAAACAACCCAAAAGTAATTAACTGAAGAAAACGTTTAAGATATTTAGGATGGTTAGAGATCAGTACATACAAATTGTTATGATACTTGTCACAGGAAACTTGAGTTTTGCTTGGATTTGTGAATAAAGTCACAACTCTAATTTTCTGTTTTCCATATAAAATAATATATGTGGCTGAACTTAAGTATCTCATAATGTAGCAAGAATTCCATTTTTCAGTTGGGTGCTGTAAAATGTTCACAACTGAGTCATGGATCCACAGTTGATATTCGTAACTAGTGAGGCCTTACTTTAGTGGTCATGTCAGTATGCAACATAAATGAATATGGAGTGAAGCAAATTTCATGCCATTCAGCAAGTGCCAGTAAATAACATAAAAGTAGTAGCATGGTGTGCTGTAAGTGCATGACGTTTATCCACTTAAGAACTTCAGAATGTAAGACGAAACTTGCATATATGCTGCAAGATATATTTGGAAGTAGAAATAGGTTTTATCTAACAGTTGTAGAATACGGTAAGAATGTGTGACCTTTTTACAGTAAACTGTAATGAAGTTCTGTTTAAGTAGATAGAATTAGCACTGCATATAGTGAAAACAGCTGTGCCGTTCCATCTAAGGTCATGCAGTAAATTACTGCTATGCTGCCACAAGCAGCATGTTTTCATCTCTATTGAACATGTTATACAGTGGAGGTGATCTGAAATGTTTGGTAAAATTTAACGAGGGCTATTCAAAATGTAACCTCCGATGAGGTGTTAAGAAAACAAGCATGAGAAAAAAATTATTATAAACAAAATATACTTACATATTTAAGCTACTTCTCAACGTAGTTGAAGGACTTGTCATATCGGAAATAAGTTTATGTGTGCTTGTGTGGGAACATCCCACATATTATCACGCATTTTTGCAACGCTCGCTGTTCAGAGTCAAAAGAAGTCTGTTGCCTGTGAACTCTGCCAAGTTTTGACATCTTTCAGTTCGTCATTAAGTTAATGCGCTGTGATAACAACCAGTTCTTCAGATTGGTAAACAGGTGGTAGTCACTCAGAGCAAAATCAGGGCTGTAAGGAGTATGGTCAAACAACTCTTAGTTGAAATGCTCCAGCAGTGCTTGAATGCGAGTAGCTGTATGTGGACGCACATTGTCATGAAGGAGTACTACACCGAATGTCAGCATTCCACGCCTTTTGTTCTGAATAACACCACACAGTCTTCTTACTGTTCTGCAATTCACTGCTGTGGTCCCTTGTATGATTTCGCCATAAGCACTCATTTCTTGTCCCAGAAAACAGTTGCCATCACCTTTCTGGCAGACGTTTGTTTGAACTTTTTCGGCTCGTTTGGTGAATGCATGTGCATCCACTGCTTTGACTGCTTTTTGATTTGAACGTTCACAAATGAAACCCAGGTTTTATCACCTGTTAGTCTTATGATGCGATTGAGAAATTCATTGCCATCTTTGTGTTATCGCTCTGAAAAATTCAAGGCAGAAGCCATTCTCTGTATTTTCTGCGCACCCATGAGCATTTTCGGAAGGCTTCTTGCTCATAACAGTTATACTAGTTTACACACACTAAGATTGGTGTAACTACAGCACACAAAATAAGATCTTCGATGTCTGCTTATGCTTCTCGATGCTTGATAACGAATATTGGCTGGTTAACACTTCACAGTTGAGCTATTGAACTGCCTTCTGAATTCTCTGACGAATGAACTGTGACTGACTTGAAGTGAACCGAACTCTCGAATGACGGCTCCCTTATAACTGAGTAATTTTTCTCTTCACGGATCCATATATAGGCTACCAATAACCATAGAAAATGTCTGTTTTCACGGAAACGTGCTTACCGAACCGTTGGCGAGCAGTGGACTTCCGATCTGTTAGTTGCTGCGGAAACATATGTTTAACGAGCCGTTGGCTAGCAATGGACTTATGCTGTTCCGGTTTTCAAGCGTCATATCACAATATGTTTGAGTGCCCTCATTTACAGGAAGACTGGTAAATGCCATAAGTTTCTTCGATAACTTCTTATTAATGCTCGTAAATATAAAGAAACAGACTGGACGGTGGAGGAGAGGAAGAGTGCAAGACTCAGTATTTGCTTGGACTGTAGTGTCCTAGAACGTGAAAACTAACTGGAGGGACTGACAACTGCCTTCTTGCGCATCCAAGCTCACAACGGAGATTTTTAATAGTTAGGTCGCGGGTTCGAGTCCCGATGAGGTGTATTTTTTTTCCAGTTGACCTAATCCTTCCAGCAGCACTATGGCCCTGGGTCTACTCAGCTTCTAACAGAAATGAGTACCAGGAATTTTCCTGGGGGTAAAGGGCGGCCGGCGCGTAAGGCTGAGAACCTTATCGTCATCCGTGAGCCGACTGTCTAGAGAAAATGTGGGAGCCTCGACGTCTCACAACCCTATGGACCTCCATGGCCTGTTACAGGGATACCTTTACCTTTTAGTTTAAGCTGTGTAAACTTTTATGTAATAAATTTGTATTTTTCCCATTATTACTGGAGTAAACTGTTTTAAGTCAAGTTGCATATCTATCCCGATTGTTCTGAAACCGTTGAGGACAAGACCTATGTTGAGGGAACATTTTTCACTCAATGGCCACAGGAATCAGCTCCTGATATGATGACCTAGATTCGTAGTCTGTCCACAGTTAGAAAAATATATGCCCTTGTACTCAGTAAAGTAATATGCCACAGTGATAACTGTTTCGAATATAAGTTGTAGATCTGATTGGGATCTGTAGTTTGTTATGTATTCGTATTGTATACGCTGAGCGTCTTTGTTCTAACTTGGTAAGTTTTTTTGCACTTCGTGTAAAATAGGAATTATAACTGATTGACGCGATATAATCCAAATACTACACCGCCGTCAAATAACCAACTTAAACATATACGGAAAACAAATTCTCACGGCTTAATGTGAACCGTCAGCACCAAATTTAATCGAAATTCGTCGAGTGGTATCGGAAATGAACCATTCGGAGAGGTACGACTTCCTGCTATCCACCCATTTCATTTTTTTTATGTAAAGGGTCCTTAATAACGAACGGGATAGTGAGGTGAATATTTTTACCTACGAGGAAAGAAGTGACTGGTGGTTTGAAGAAAATACAAAATAAGGATCATCAAAGCATGTAATGTTCACTAAGTAGCATTAGGATGATCAACTTAAGGAGGTATGTAACACAGGTAGTAAAGGTGGGAAATGGGTACAACTTGGAAGGTGGGAGGATAATATTAATATGGATCACGATGATATAGGCCTGGGAAGGGGGGGGGCTAGATTCGTCTTGTTCAGAATAGAATTCGGAGTCGAGCTCTTGCGTAAATGGTAATGAACTTCCGGGTTCCGTAACAGGTGGACAATTTCTTGATTAACATAGCGACTCTCATCCTCTCAGTAAGCACTCTGCCTCTTGGAGTTAAGCTAGTTAGCCTCATTAGCTGCTGTTATTATTTTAATGAGTTTGAAACGGGAGAAGGAGCCTTGAAAATTTTGTTCTTTGATTTACATTTTGCAAGCCGCTCTCTGCTTGAAGCTCCGTTATAAAATTGCTGGACCTTATCGCTCTAAACGATTGCCATATGTAAGCCGGCAGGACAGTGTATTAGGCACCCTTATTGAAAGGTTGTTATTGATGCACCTTGAAATCCTAAATGACCCCGTCGTGTCATCGGCAGGCTCTATTGATCTCCGGAGTTGCATTTTCAGCGCTGGCCGCATGGAGAAGCGAGGGCTCTGTCTTCGCTCTGCAAAGTACATCACGTGGTGGGCTTTCCACTCCTCCATTTGTTTGCCCAGTAGTTGGTTCCATTCTGATACGAACCCCTTTCATTCGCAAGCGATATGAATGCGGTTAATTAATGTATGTTCCAGACTGAGTTCGATAACCAGAAATCCCAATTTTATATATTAGCTCTTCTCGTTCTAGCTCTATACTGTTTTAGTTTTAGGGTTTTTTTTTTGTGTACATTTACTTACGTGCATTAAGGCCGCGCCATAGCTCAAGCGGTTAGTCGCTGGTTTCCCACCGCGGCGGTCCGGGTTCGATCCCGTGTCAGGTCAAGTGGGATTTGTGGTGGACAAAGTGGGGGTGGGGTCGGTTTTCTCCGAATACTTCGGTTTCCCATGTCACTGTTCATTCCACCAACTGCTCCACAATCACCCTCACCTATCATCTGGGGCTGGTACAGTAGGCCAGAAGTGGCCGCAGTACAAGGGACTTAGTCCCACCCCACTAGCATTAAAAGAAATTAGGTGCATTATGTTTTGTTTGCACTTGCTTAGGGATGTGGTTGTTCCCTCCCCATATTATCT